GTTCCCTCTGTCACCATGTCAGCTATGTCATAGTCTGTGTCTGTGCGTACGTGTCGTATTTCCTGTTTCACTTTGACAGTCTTGTGCGCTTGGTCAGTGTATCTAGTTTTGCCTTCCCTCATCTCATTATGTTTGATTTGTCCCAGCTGTGTTTCCTCCTGTTCCCCATGCTCCCGTGATCCTACCTGTGTATTTTAGTCCTCAGTCTTCCCCTGCTTGTCGCGTCGTGCTGTGTTTTCTCCTCTCATGTTCCTGAAAATATTCTAGCTCCTGGTCCTGGTTTGTTTCCTTCCTTGAGTTTCTTAGTCTCCAGGTTCCAGTGCCCAGTTTAGTTTCTAGTTTTTGGTTTGTTTTTGTAAAAGTCTATTTCTTATAAAGAGTTTTTCCCAGCAATAAAGCTGCGCTTTAAGTTTAACTTTCTGTTTCTGAGTCCTGCGTTTAGGTACTTCATCTTGCCTGCCACACAGCACAGAAGCATCACAGCAAAATTGCCATTGTGTCAAAATAACTGAGGATGGAACACAGAAAAATATTTCTTTTGTAGCATATAACCCCTTTGAAAATATGCAGCAGTAGACCAAAAACTGAAGAAAACCATAAATTAACATGTGTACATTACCTGTTTCACCAAAGTGAAACAGAGCAAAGTTACAGAGGTTGCATTAGAGACATAGCTAAGCGTTTTGCAATTTGGCACCAAGTTCTTAGGTACTGAATAGCAGAAATTAGGCTTTTTAGTTAGAGGTAATTTTTTCCAAATAAATAATCAAAATAAAATAGCGATTTATGAAAGCACATTGTTTGTCCCCCGTTCATCCATTGTTGGGTGAACAGGGGAGTCTGCACTTTGTATTTTCATCTTCTTCTTTTTTCAGTTTCTGTAAATGTCCATATTTAAATAGCAGGCCTGGCGGCCTAGGAAACCTTATTTTCCCCCTTCATCACCCAGTACCTCCAGTTCACACTAGAGTGGGACGCAGCCAACTGTAAGGCAGCATGAATGAGAATTAGAACATCCAAGGCTAAGTCCTTGGTCCTCATACACCAACTTTAACCCTTAATGAGGACACATATACAGTCTTTCTATTACTTTTTAATATGAACAGAAAGCTGACAGCAAAAAGCAAAGTTAGAAACCAGCTCAAAGAGACTTCAAAGAGATCACCACATCGATTCTACTGTAGAAACATGAACGGATAGCAATGGAAGCTTGAAGTCTAACTGCTCATCAGTTATCTACCATCTATTATCTAGTTGTCTGTTGAAGATTTGCAGCCATCTGCATAGAAAGAATGCTAACACGAAGCTAGCCAAGAAACCACAGTGACAATAAAGCTGGGTGAATGCCAACCCCAGTTCAGCAGCTAAAGTTTGGAAGCAGTATAATTGGTTTGTTTGTGTCCATGATCCAGTTTGCACCAATGTGCTCTTATCCTTTTGTGGAATAAAAGTAAAATTAAATGTCCATATGTTTACTCCTCAAAAGCTGTGCTGTCGTACCACGCTACGATTTTAACTGTGGGCCGTAAAAAACAAACAAAGGGTTCAAAACAGAAAACTGAAGAACGTGTACAAAAGTAACAACATAATTGTTACTGTAATGTGATTACTGAATGTAGTACAATAGTGCATTACATTACTGCATACTGAGAAATGTAATGTGAACTAGCTGTCTGTTTGACAAACATTTGGATTAGGGCTGTGCGATATGACCAAAACCTCATCTCCCGATATAAGACATCTATCGTCTGATAACGATATAAATCACAAAAATGTAACATTTTCTGTAAATTCTGTGAATCTCGGGCAGCTCGACT